ACAAGTTTTACTGAATAAAATCAAATTCGGACGAAGATACTCTGTCGACTAACGCACGCACGCATAAGCCAACACAGGCGACAAATGAACACAAGTGTTAGGAATGACGTGATGCAGAAATTGTAGACTATGCCTGGTAAGGCAAGCATAGTATATTGTAAATATAGACATTATTGTAAATCAACATCCTGTAAACTTTTGATGTAAGCGCAAGCTAGGTAATCTTCAATTGCTAAATATTAATTGAGCGGTCAACAAGATGTTACGGCTGCTCGGCGCTATTCTTTCAAGATGCCAATGTTTCCTGTTTACTAAAATTCCTTCAAATGAATTGAGGTCTTAAGCACAAATACTAATGGGTCTTCCCGATGTTTCTAACATGAATCAAAACTGTTGTGAATAGCGTGACTAGCAGTGGCAAAAAATTTTAAAACTCAAAGAATCTGGCAATATATAATTTTCTGGGTCAGTTTTTTTTAATATAATAAGTTATTTCAAGCTATGACTTTTCAAATAAATTCAGCGGTAATCTTTTCAAGCGTGCCATCATGAAAATGGGCAACTGCGCCAGCAGCTTAGATTGTATTTCACCCGATTTTTGAGCTCTTCTGGTAGATAATGCATGCCTTTTTGCATCCAATTTTCACGCACTTAGTCAAGCGGTTTAAATAAATTCTGTAAAATGGGTTAAGGGTGTTGTAAGGATGCAAAATTTGTGTAATCCTAAATTTGTTTGCTCAAGCTAATTTTTTTCAGAGCTCGGTAGTCTTTAAAGTAGGATTACCACTCCGAGCTCTGTATTTATTGGATTAAAGCTAATTAACATTGGATTAATAAGAAAATATGCAACACCCTTTAATGGATTCCATAAATATGCAACAACTAGGTTGCCTTTAATGGGACAGAATTTGCCATCTTCAGTAACTGAATCCCTTAAATACATATGTCCTGGTAAAACATGCTTAGAAAAGAATCTAAAATGTATCTTGGCGTTAATATTTGTTTACTTAAGATCAATTTTATTTGCGTGACCAGTAGCCCTTACAGGAGGATTACCGCTTTGCAGTCTATGTAAGTAGGATTAAAGTCAGTTAACTCTGGATTAGTGTAGGATATGAGGCGCACATAAATAGACCCTATAAATAGGTAAGAATCAGTCCAGTAAGGAAGTCACAAAATGGACTTGAATGGGACGACAAAAATCGCGTTTGTGATCAACAAAGAAGCAAGTGTTAGTGAATTTTCCGCAGTTCTTCAGAAATTGCAGGTATCTCTTTAAATGGGTGCATTACTTGAAAGCTATGACAGATGCTTGGTGTTTTTACAGGAAAATCAATGTCTATGCATGAAATGCTCAACACGGTAACAAGATTAACATGACTGCACAAAGTCTACGTTTCTTAAGAATTTCTATTCTGCATTTCTTTCAAATTGCATTTGTGTTCCAACGCTATTCGTGTTTTTTTACTAAATGGAATTCTAAATAATAATATAATGGCATAGTGGCATATATTCTTAAAAATCCGTTTGTGTGAATATAAAAGGCTTAATTTCCTTTTTGAAATGTAATGACCTTGATTTAATGCCGCAGAAATGTAAAATATTCATCGTACCAACTAAACTACCCTTTAAATGCTCAAATACGATTGACTGTCTTCACAAAATTTATTCTCAACCCTTATGCTTATTCGTGTACTTGGCCTAGGTTACCATTTAACACGTGATACTCACAGAAGGTCAGGTTTTGTAGCTTAATTAAACACTCTTGTAATGACTCACTGTAAGTGCCTAATTTGAAAGTATTAAGGTTACGAAAATGATTAACCATATCCAAACGACAAATTATTATCCTATTTTTTTGTATTTTAAGCACCGTAACCCAGCATGTTACATGTAGCCCGATAAAAATATATATCTAGTAAATAAATAGGCTGAATGTATTTAGGAGCTGAATGTTGGCGTTGCTGGAATCAAGGCAAAGGCTAGTGGTGAGACGGTGGTCTATTCAAAGCCATTTTCTCGCTGCCAAAGCGAAGTAATGCAATCACTTCAAGCTGCCTGCAAGGACGTAATCGGGAGAGTTACCGTAGAGGCGGCTGAGTCGCAAAATTCACTCCCGATCATAAAAGGTTTGTGCTTCTTCATAAATTGACCAATTAATGCATCCAGTATAGCAAGTGACTGAGCCAGTGGAAAAATTTGAGAACTCTGAATCTCACTACTTTCCTTCACTCAAGTCTTACTTTATTCTCCACCATTTAGGATTACCTTTAAGAGTGTACACGCAGTACTTTATACCCAAATGACTTTCATACTAAGGTATAAATATTAAATAAGTCTTGGCCTAAGCTCGCTAGCCTCTATGTCCATCTGGCCAAATCTTAAACCGAATCATAGTTAATATTTCGAAGTCTTGATCTTGAAACAAATTACACACCGAAAATGTCAGTGCAAGTTTAATTTGTGTCACAGACGAGGTCATAAGTGTGGTGTAACTAGACCTTATAAACGTAGAGTGTTAGGTCTGTGGGGGCCATGACGTGTTGGGGTTCGTGGCCATCCAAGTCACTTAATCGAAGGTAAACCTAACCCCCAGAAGGACATGGCAGTGGAGTGTAAAGCAAGATTTTCTGAACGAAAAGTTCACAAGTAGTCAGCGTAGAGTTGGTCTGGTATTCCAACAGGGTCGAAAAGGTCAAAGGACGTCTAAAATCCACACTGCAAAGCCATTGGACGTGGGAATTTAACTCTTGCTTTTACTCTTCTCCTCGAATCCAGAAACTCAGTGCTTAGCGTTTTTGTCCTAGCCAGTAGCCAAACGTAGTTTCTGCTTCTACATGAACAAAGTGTAGTCTTTTTCTAAGATATCATGCTCCAATGTTTATGCTTTTAATCTTTAATAGCATGAACATCGATGCCGGAAATTTTTACTTTGCTTAAGATGACTGCTGCCTTCCAACGCTTACACGATATATGTATGCCCTGTAGGGCTTAAATTACTTGCAATAATTAAGTGGTACCCAGTGCCAATGGTAACGGTACTAAATCTAGCAAGCATTGAGCGTTTGTGCACAGCTTTGGAAAAAGTATGTAACAACAAATAGTCGAGTTTTAACATAGATTAAAAGCAATAATTCTAACAATATTTGTTACTTCGTATCAGCGCAGAACGATGTTGACTCACAGGCTCGTTAATGTGATCGAGTGCCTTTATCAAACAATTAAAATGAAAAGTCAACGAAACTTTGGGATTCGATGGTCAGTAGCAGTCAGTTTACCGGAACCTTTAAATAATAAAGTTACTTTGCCTTTTCTTCTAGTAATGAAAATGGTTCCGTGGTTTCCGAGACATATTTCCGAACTGGATGTGGTATCGAACAATGTTTTCATGTATGGAAAGCACCTTGACGCCGATCATCCAAGTTTCAAAGACGAGGCTTACAGAATGCGTCGCATCGAGCTTGCAAATATGGCATTCAAGTATAGTTAGTAAGTGTGTAAAAGTAAAGCAAACTTCTGCGTCCATTGCAAGTCGACTAGACTATAGGCTCATGGCGACTAGCAGAAAAGGAACTGAGATCATCCCCCCGTCTCCAACAGTACCGTGAAACTTCACCATTTGTAAATGCATTCATGATCACTGGTCCTAGTCTTGTACCTCAATACAAGCGGCATTAGCTGTCAAACTTTTCCTCTGGTCAATTTTGAGTTCACTTTTGGCTCACAACTTGTCTCAAGGATTACAACGATTACTACGGGAAGTTAACTATGCCTGTATGCCTCAAGGTTTTATAGAGAAAGAGCGCCTGCTTGCGTTTGACTTGTAACTTTCAAATTTCAGGAGAAAATTATTTAAGAGAAACAACGATCCCTTGCCAATCAACGTTATTCCTTATAAATGTAGCCACGATTTCATAAGGGTCCAATTTTTTTTGTTTACAGGCTTATCATTCTAATTTTTTAACATTGTACATTAGATGTCATCGTTTTACCAAATATGCATTTCATATTTTACTCAATTTACCTTCAGTAAGTTAATGGATTCTAACGCAGAAAACTTTTGGTTTTCGATGCTCGAAATAGTGCCAATATTGTCAGAACCACTTTATAATTCAGTTCCAGAACAAGAATGATTATTGTCAAAGTAACATGCTGGGGGCTTTGATAACGCAAAACGAATTGCAAATTTGGTTTAAGATGGAGACTTATTGTAACTTGCAGTTTAATCCGAAAAGACTGCAGTAAAGTGGTGTTTGCTTGAATTGAGTGGCTTGTGCCCTTTTGTCCGTTTGGGAGGCTGTTCAGACAGATTAGAAGAGGGGGGGGGTCAAGGCTGTGTTGCGATGACAAGTTGCACTTGACTTTTGTTGGCATCATTATGGATATGATAATCTTGACAAATTTTGACTTTAGTGGACAGCCTTTACCCCGCATTGAGTACACAAAGGAGGAGCGAGAGACATGGTGAGTTGTGCACACCCCCCTATCACATAACCTAATTTGTAAAGTCAAGTCGGTTTAGTTATCGAGTTGTCAGGCCTAAAATTCGCTTTAAATGGACTGCGAATAGTAATAGGAGTTTTCAGGATACTGATTTTTTGATAATTTTTTGGTCCTTTGCAATGTGATCATAAATTAAAATTGATTATTTTTAATAACCTAACTGATCTTGCTTTCTTGTGGGGAGCACAAGCGTATGGAGACACCACTATTTTTTTTCAAAACTAGGAAGAACAACGTAATTTTGGGTACTTGCAGCCAATCACAATTCTCTGTTAAAATATGTGGTAAATTGACATGATGTAAACATGTAGTCAGTAATCGACTTTTATATGGTTTCGAGGTGACCAACCACATTTTTAATGAACGGATCATTTTCTTTAGCTGTTACACTTCGAATGCACCTATGGAACACAAAGTTGCATGTTGACTCAAATTCCGAAAGTACCAATATATTAATTATTTAATTTTACTGCTATACTGAAAAACGCCATTTTTATTTTCTAATTTAGAGCATTTGTTTTTCTAAGAAATATCCCATACAAGCCTTTTGATTGTCAGCTTCGGTTACAAATGTTTTCACGTTTGGACAGTTATCTTTACCATCGTGATATCAATTATTGCTTTTAAATCCTTATCTTCATTGGTTATTTGCTATCAACTTGGGAACGTAAAAATACATTGCTGATCACTTGCATTGGCTTTGTCATATCCCGTTCGTTAAGGTCATTTACAGTCTTGTTTGCAACATATTAAACTATTTTATGTGGTGCATAACAAATTCTGAGTTGACTGGGTTGTCTAAATGCTCCTTATGCTTTGCAAACATTCCGGCACTAGTTTGTTCCGAAATATTTCACGTTTGATTGCTGTTAAACTACGCAAGAAATGGTGCATTCTGGATTTCAAACTTCTACATAATTGTTCACTTTTTTTTATGATTTCCAACCAATTGATATATTACATTATCAAAACATTTTTTCAAGTGTGACTACTTACTTCACTAAATACCAGAAAAATACCCAACTCATGATAGTGCTAATTTTTAATGCATACCTTTAATCTTTATGTACAAACGTAAACTTTGAGTGAATAGTGTAACTAAACGACCTAACGGAACTTGCAGTCAACTAGTCACTGTGCCATTATGGGTACAATCATGAAACTTCTGCCGTTGCAGGGGAACAGTGTACCGAGAACTGCTGCAGCTTTATCAAACGCACGCATGCAAGGAGTATCTTGAGAACATTCCACTCCTGCAAAAGTACGCGGGTTACAGGTAAGACGCACACTTCATGCCACCGACTTTATCCCTTTGGCAGAGAAGACGACTTGCCACAACTGGAAGACGTGTCCACATTCTTGAAAAGTAAGGCTTTCCCTGCAGTACTTTAAACTGAAACACTTTTCAAGGGCAGTCTGGATTTACTCTACGCCCAGTGGCCGGCTACATTTCTGCTCGGGACTTCCTCAAGGCCCTGGCCTTTCGGGTGTTTTACTGCACGCAGTACATTCGACACAGCGCAGACCCCTTCTACACTCCTGAACCGTAGGTGCCCTTACACTACCTGCGAGTCACTAAGCTGCATGTTTAACGTGTAATGTTGAAGCCTGTATGTCAAATATAGGACAGACTCAAAATAAAACTGTCACAATTAGGCCCTTTGGTCCTGCATTTCAACGACCACGAATACACAGTCACACAGTTATAAGGGGAACTATTAGAACTATAAGGTTGCAAACTATTATTAGGGCCCTATTAGTTTATTTTGTGTAGTAGGGATAAGAGAACACAATACCTTCTTTTTTGCCAATTTGTTTAGAGAATAGGGCTCATCCTCAGTCAGGCAAGCGACATATAGGGCAGCCCACTGGCTTGAAATGAATTTTTACGAAGTGGCTGTAACCACCAAGTTACTTTCAAGAAATTTTTTAATCTTTAAAAACCTACTCATCAAACAAATGTGATTTCTGTCTAAGGAAACATAATCAACAAGGAATGTTCAATATTTTTTTCAGGAACTTAGAATCAAACGTCGACACGAAAACTGCATGTGCGGTTATTATTTCATGTGCCGTCTTTGTTTGTTTGAGTCTTTAGGCTATACAATACTTGAAATAACTCTAGATAGTTCTATCGTCATGCAGAACTGGTCCGTAAGTAGCAAGCACCGTAGTTGCGCCTTAAGTTAAACGTAAATACGTGGTATTTAACCAAACAGAATTTACTGCTAGAAATCCATTGTTCATCATTAGACGTATTGAAATCAAGAACACGAGTGACGAGTTAGTATAAGATGTCATTAAGACAGTTTTCAAGGCTAACAAATAAGACAAAGATTGACGTAGAGTTCTGCTTTCGATTTTCACCTTTTGCGATGATTTAAACCTCTCTCTAGAGAAGTCATGATTTTGTTTTTATATTTTAGTAAGTTTAAAGGCTTTTTGAATCAAATATGAGACAACCACCGATAAAGAGTGTAAGTACAATTTGACTACTTGATGTTCAAAGTAGTTTATTCTGTGATTGGTTAGGGACTGCATTCACGAGCTGATGGGACATGTGCCACTTCTAGCCAACCCCGAATTCGCAAGATTTTCTCAGGAGTTGGGACTCGCCTCCCTTGGAGCCTCTGAGGAGGACGTCAAACAGCTCGCCACGGTGAGAGATTATTTCAATCGCAAGTGATGCCTAGGCCTTCATGCCCTACTAGCAGGGACTAAGAGCTGGAGTTTGAATCACGTCAGTTACACGACAGACGGCTTCATGTGTATTTGTTTAACTATTAAGTGTGTTAAATTTGTTTCCAAAAACAATTCTAGCTTTTTTAGTAAATGCGCTTCCTAAAAGCAATGAAACGATTGCCTTCATAGGGGCAAATACTTACATGCTTTTTCACTATACATGAGTAAATTACGACATGTTGCGTCCCCATCACTGTTTCAACCTCGCCACTTTTTCACCCATAGCTCTATTTTTTTACGGCCGAGTTCGGAATATGCGAGCAGGAAGGCCAGCTGCGCGCCTATGGTGCGGGCCTTTTGTCTTCTGCGGCCGAACTGAAGGTGAGTTCAACATGCCTATGGCAGTCCATTTGTGTTTTTAATCCTAATTAACACATTCATCTCACAGCATCTGTAGAAAATTCATAGGGTAGCCCTTATGTAGCAAAATCTTACTGAGTATTACAATTGTAAAATATGGAACAAGATTGATTAATATTGAACAGTGTTTTAGCTCTATTTCACCAATAAACCTTTTTGCAAGATTGTGCAACGAATTTGTTTTATTTAAATTTTTTATCTAATAATCCCTGGGATTCTCTTACACCTGGGCCACCACGTTTGCCAGCTGTCATGAAAGATTGTATGTAAATCTATGGCAAATAAATTTATTTTGTTCAGATTTAGTAAATACACTTTAATGCAGGCATTGGCATTAGGAAATGTAATAAAGACGCTGATATCGACGTCTGAAATAAAGTGTGCTTAAGTGGTAAATAGGCAAATATTAGCTGACACAGTTTAGATGATTGGATTTCGTTTATATTTATGACCAAATAGTGGGGTGTCGTGAGAAATAATAAATTGTAATGACAGCAATTGGACATTAAACAAACCACATACACATGAAGGTTTCTTCATCCTGTAAGCCTAAGTTTGGCAGTAAACTGCTGTTTCGTCCCTTCTGGATGCTTCCGCAAATCCCCGGTCTTCAAATTTAATGCTAGCATCATTAAAGTTTGAGGCACCAATCAAATGTAGGTTAATAAATCGCTGTCTTGGTAATGTGCGGTACAGACCAGGTTTTGAAACCTGCTCACCCAGTGGCAGTAAGTCAACGGAGAATATTTTCCCTGCAAATATTCATATTACATTACATTAAAACCTAGCAATGCCGCTGCCTCATCTGCTTAAAGTTTCGCAACAACACTCATTTAGTAGCTGTTTGTCGGTAAACAAGGAGTAAGGTAGTGCGAAAATTATCACGAGATAACTGATAAAACGCATCTTTAGGTGCTCTGTCATCTTTACTTTGTAGTAGCATGTAAAAAATTTACTGAGTAAATGCATTATCAATGTCATATTTCCTCATTTTAAAGCACGCTCTAAGTGATGCCGCTGTAAGAAGACCCTTTCAACCGGACGAAGTTGTGAAGACCGAATGTATGGTAACCACGTACCAGAACGTCTACTTTACTTCATCCAGTTTGAAAGAAGCACAGGACAAGTTGAAGTAATACAATGCTCTCTGGACATTTCAGTGTCCAGACGCGTTCCTAACCTAACTTTTTACATCCTTTTCAGTCACTTCATTCAACGTATAAAGCGACCGTGGCCGATCCACTACAATGCTTACACGGAGTCAATTGAGGTGGTTGAGGGTCCGCATCAGGTGCTCTCGCTTATTGACGACATTGAAAGTCAACTTTTTTCAGTGAGGGCTGCATTGAACCAGGTAGGTAATATTATACACATACACACACAGAGAGAGAGATCCACTAGTGGGTCACAAGGAATTTTCGCTTTAGGGGACAGCACTTCCCTATGCAACCTCTTCGCTAAATGGCAAAATGTGTAATATTTTTGCCTAATTTAAAGCCTTTTAAAGCAATTTTACCTTCACATTGTCCTAAAGAGCGATTCGCAGTTCCGAAAATCCCAGCTGAACCAAGAGGCTGAATAAGCTACAGGTAAAAAGGGCTTAGCCATTTGCTTACTTACAAATTGTGGCGTAACCGTCAGTAATAATCAGCAAACGTGTGTTAGTTTAAGAAAGGATTTTGTCAACTAAATGTCCACAAATTAGTATCAACGCATAGACGCAATTAAATTAATTATTTAAATACATGCGGTAAGTGAATGCATCAAACTCACTTAGTGTAACCTTCCGAGGGACCACAAATCACGAGCAGGAAAGACCAGTAATGATGACCACTGCAAGCCTTTGAAAACGACCTTGTTTAATTCAAGGTGCATTAGCGGATCCTGAGAAAATGGTCAATAGGCGGACGGATGCATAAAGAAAGGTTTCATGCGTTTTTCAAGCAAAATCCAATTGCACTTCTTTGGGAATCTCACGACTCTGGAAGATGAAGGCGATAATGATCATGACATCCGCTAAAATGTACTTCTGTCTGGTGCTCAAACAGAGCCCTTTTTATTCAAACTCAGAGCACATTGTGGCTCACGATATCTTTCCTTTCTATAGTTTGTCGCTTGCCAAGGTGAAGATCCCCTGGTGGCATGGAGAATGGCTGCACCTGAAGTGATGCCCTAAGAGAAGGACGCAGTAATGTCACCGAACTCGTCTTCATTTTACTCGATGTTGTACTATCTTCTTTAAGGAAAAGTAATTTACAGATCTGATAGACTTCTTACTCAAGGAAATACAATATACTGGCTTACGGCGGCATATTAATACCACTCAATGGTCACATTGAATTGTTCAGGAATGGGAAGTGAAGATGTCCAAGAATGCAAACCTGTGTCTTGTCTAACACCTATTTGTAAACCAAAGATTTACTGGTGGTTCCACTTTAGCCGATATACTCTAATGTAACATTCATGGAGGCATGGGAATGAGTTCGATATTCTTCTCGAGTTTGTTAATTATAGGATAGATGAGCGTAACTCATTGTAGACTTTTGCAAATCTGCTGGCCTCAGCGTCCACCTTCGATGGTAAAGTGCTGCAATCCCCAACCCCCCAATCGCTCTACTGATAAACAGAATGTCAAGTGAACCGTGAATAAATTTTATTGCACCCACACTAGAAATAAGAAAATATTTTCGGACGAAAGGTCACGAAGCCGACACATAGGCACGACCCGTGATTTTCTGGTCTCAGGCAGGGATTTTACTCAGTCTTAATAAGCTCCCTTTCCATCGAAATTAACGGCAACCCAAGTTCCATATTAAGGGATGGATTAGGTTAAGCGGTTATAAAGTTTCTTATGCATGAGAATCAGGCTGAATAGATGAACCTCCATATCAGCAAAACCATGATTGCAACATAAGCTTATTCATGCAGTGGGACATGCAACTCCTTAATGTGTGACATATCTAAGGCTTCTGCATAACCCCCCCCCCAACTGCTTTCAAAAAACCTTCAAATGAATGTTAACAGAACTTCAGTGAGCGAACAAAATGTCGTGATTGGCAAAGTGCTGCTGACAGTGTTTTGACAGGTGGCGAGTCCATTCCCAGGGGCAAACTGATTTTACTTAAACTGCCTGAGATAAACCTATCTACAGCTTCAGGTCATTAGGAAGTTGTGGACGCAATGGAATTGGACGTTTTCGAGTCCCAATTGATTAAGAGAAATTGCGTTTAGCTATCAGCAAAAAACTACAATCAAGCACCAAACCATAATAGTAGAAAAGGACCCCAACTTCTGTCTAAAATGGTGGCGCACAATTAAATCTAACAAAACAATAATTCTATTCCGACTGGAATCAAACAACCACATCCGGTGCCTAATGACACTGCCTACAATTAATAAGTAGTAAGGCTAGCCTACTTTGGCAAATGCTACACTTGCCGCATTGAGAATAGGCATTCGTAATTTCGTATCAACCGAACTTGCTCAACCAGCATACAGACACCATAGTTGTGTCCGAATCGTCAGGAAAACACGCATCAGAATTTCCAAAATTTTTCATTGGTTAGAGCGGAAGAAAGTCTCTTAAATTGTATTTTTCTGTTATGTGAATCTCCCCTAAAACCATCTGCGAACGGGCACGTCCACTATTCACGTAGGCAAAAGCTGAAGATTTGCTAAAAGAAACAGCATGGCTGGATTCACATTGTTGACGACTTTCCAGCCTTGTAAACGGCATCACGGCTCCAGGCTTATTCCAGCAACCTGACTAAATTGAAGGCCTTCCGAATGGCCAGTTTGTACAATAAGGCGAAGCCATTCTACACAGGCAAACCGGGTTACCACAGGGCACCTTTTTTGACGAATATTATATTAGCATAAATTCATCCATTGTTGTAATTCTCGTTTTTTCAAAGCCCCATTTAGAACCTACCCAATAGACGGGCAGTGTTCATGATGAAAGCCACCTAAATTCGCCAATAGCGTATAACGCGCATACGTTGTTGAACGCAAGACTTGGCTCCAACACCTCACGCATCCAGCATGAGAAATCAAGCTTAGGCGTCACATGTTTGCTGTACAATTTAATGCCTACAGCTTTAGCTAAATGGCTGGATGTTAGCGTGAATATAGTCACACAACTGATAGCATCACTTCTGCTGAAAAACAGTTGAAAACTAGCAGCAGTGCCCCGGGCTGTCAACCGCCAAAGCCCACTCTTACTCAGAGTGGTGACTGGGGGAAAAAATTAAGTCACTATGAGGATCAAAAAATAAGATTTCGTGCTTTAAAAAAGTAAATGAAGAGGTCTATTCTCTGAACTTCCACTCTTGTCGACAAAGTGGGCAGGGTTGGCCTGATTGGCGGGTGTTTAGCCAATTGATGATGCAGTGCATGTGAAAACAGTGGGAGCACTGGCCCCAAACAAGAGGACAGTCGTCTCCTGGCAGCTTACAATCGGCACAACAAGTCTCGAACGTGTTTCGACAGATTCCGCACGTGCTGTCGTTGGTGCACCATCGCCAAGTGGCAACGCCAAACCAGCTGTTTATCTAAAACAAACACAAAACATTGCAACTGGTTCTTTCAAGCAGGACTCTACTAAAAGATGTTACCTTCATTTTTAGCGGTTTCGCATTTTCAGCATCCTCTTTACTTTGAAGGCCATCATCTACCGTTTCCTAGACCAAAAGAAGTTTCAAAAATTGCGGATTTTATGACAGAGTACCATGCACACACACACACACACATACCCAAGCTTGGCAAAAGCGCTACCAAATTTTTTACAAGACTCTAAGGTGTTACCAGGTGTCCGGAACGTAGTTCTACTTACACCATTGCACCAAAATCAACGACCTACAAGTTCAATTAAATTTTCGAAAACGACCACATCAGTCTACCCAACATTAAAAATTGGGAGCGAAAAACTATCCGATGAATTAAGATCAGAACTTCTGGTCACTTCAGAGGCAAATTGGGTCACGCTTAGTGTGACTATTTAAATGTTTATCTGTTAAGTCTGATGTATATAATATTGATAAGTAGATCCAGAAAGCGAAAGAACTACCAATTCATTGATTTGATATTTATTCCAAAAAAGTAATCTATACAGGATATTCTAACAGGGACTAGGGTTGGCGGGAGCGTGAGAGGTGACTCCTCTACACCTTTTACATCTGTCCCCATTCATGAGCTGGTCCCTGCCTCTTCAGCCTTCTTCGAGTCCTCAACCTCAGCGGCCTCCTCTGCCTTTTTCGCCTCCACGTAAGCCTTTAGTTCGGCGTAGCTCTCAGCAATCTCACCCCCCATGTCGAACTTCTGCGCCAGTGTCAGCACTTCATTATTATCACGCAGAAACGTTTGATCTGCGAGCAACTTTCGCGCAAAATTAAGTCTACTTGGTGCTGCAAACTCCGAGTCCTCGAAGAGATCCTCTGGCAGATTCCAAAGCAACACTCCCACCAACCTGTGATCATTTGGTTTCAAGTAGAATACAACAGCGCAGGAGTCTGCGTTCTCATTCTCTATAAAAACTGTCCTTGTAATAAGGCGCTTAGAATCGATAACTCCGACACAATCGTAAGCAGCGCCTGTACCAAGGCTGCACCAAAACGAGGGCTGAAATTCGTGGACGGAGGAAAGGGGATCGTAGGTTTTTTCAGGGGGAAGTGAGGCGTCGGAAGACGAGGGCTCGGATGAACCGGCACTGCGGGCCATATTAAGACCAGCCAGAGTTCCGCTCTCCTCGGCGAAGTTGAGGTGCTCCATCCGACGACGGCAGCACAACTGGGAGTCCCAGTAAGAGGCAGCATCGCCTGCCACATAAATGTCCGCACGGGACTCGAGTTCGCTGTTTACTAGGAAACCACCGTTATCCGAATCTACCTCAAGACCGGCGGATGCAGCAAGTTCTGTTCGAGGATCCGCACCGATCTAGCATGACGAAAGAGAGAGTTTAAGACTATGGGTTATGAAACCAGTTAGATGTTCAAGAAACCCACAAAATCGTAGAATCACAACACCTAATGATTTAGACCAGATTACTACCATTAGAAATTTCGTTAAAAAAAACAAAGCAGATAAATATACTCACTGCACAAACTATGTGGTCCACAATTACATCCTTGTCTTCCTTTATAACACCGCCATCTTCCCTTCTGTGGACGGTGAGTCTAAGCTGAGAATTTGCAGGATCTTTTGGATTCACCAGAGACGCCCGCACAACTGAGGTAGCCGGTGCTACAGTCACCCGTTTCTTCGACTCGAATGATGAGACAGCGTCGGCGAGGACTGGAGGTAGTATTTCCTGCATCGGTGCAACTGACTTGAAGCCAAGGAAGTGGTGAACCCCGAACTCCGCGGTATCCTTCGGGGTTTTGGCTTCCTTCTCCTCCTTCGTGAGTTGGCGCTCACCGGATATGCTCACCGCGAGTTCGGAGGCCAGAGGGCCGGAACCAACGATTGCAATCCGCCCGCCTTCCTTGTGAAGGCGATCAGACACCGCCTGGAGATGTCTAAGAATGAAAAGAACAAAATCCGCAATGCGACAATTCGCAGTGTCTCTCGTAAATGGTCAAGCTTCATCCACAAGTTGTCCCTGCCCGTAGCTATTAAAGTTAGCTGTGGTTTCCAGCTTTCGACAAAGTTCCCGTACACAAACGGGCAATTTGATTATTTTATTATGATCAAAATTAGAAACTACATGGTAGGGATATTTCAATTATATGTTTTAGTCTCTTTGGTGGGGACAGTTTATTTACAATAGCGATCGCTAAATAAACTCAGTTCAAACACACTACCCGAGCATTCAAGGACTAGAATCATAAGAATTTCCCTTCTTTGGGAAAATTCTGATACCAACAGCAATGCATTGCAGGGAAATTTGATCCGTAGCTAGGCAAAAAAGGAAAAACAAACCGATTAAAAATGGTTGCTCGTTATCTTGAAAACCTAGATACAACGGCGTTGGGAACATTGTCGTCGAATTAAACAACTGCGCGAACCGGGAGGCTGTGAAGCAAAAAGTGGATGTGAACGTGCGCACACAAATACACAAAAGCCCAATAAGCCATAACCTGCTTACCTGTAATCGGATAGATTGCGGAAATAGGTGATTCGCCGAGCTTTAATGAGGTCAGCCCCACTAATCGAGCAGTGCTCGAGTTCCGGCATGCGTCGTGGCTGGGCCCCAGTGGCTATGAGGCAGCAACTATACGCGATCTCTTGTCCGTCGGCCAGGCAAACCGTATGACGGTCCGGGTGCAAAGCAACTACAGGATTCCCCCGCAAAAAGCACACACCGCCCTCCTCCGTCTCGGAAAGTCTAAGACAAAAAATGAACAACCAGGTTGTTAGTTGATAACATTAAATCGAAAATCACTTTTAAATATATACCACTGATAAATTCCCACGCTACGGCATGGAATCTTAAGCGCTAATAACAATCGACGATTCTACGAGATAGCACTTTACAGTAGTGGGCTTGCAAAATTAGAAAGTAGAAACGCTGCATGCTTACTTCTCTGGATCAATGAAGAAGCTAAGCGGCTCGAAGTACAACCACGAGTGTTTTCGGATGTCACCCTCTGGATTGAGCATCTGTGCTCGACGTTCCGGTGTTCGCCACCAAAGGCCCTTACTGAGGAGAGGACGGACGTACGGAGGCGGTGCTTGCTGATTAGTCTCAGCCAGGCCAAGCTCTCCACAACTTTCGTCCCCAGCGATAAGAAGCACACAAGAACGGGGATCAGAGGCTCGAATGGCGCGAGCGGCTGCCATTCCTGCCGCGCCAGCACCAATTATCACATGCTGGACTTTCTTCGGAAGCTGAATCTTTGGCTGCAGCTTTTTTGAATCGGTTGCTTGTGCTAGAAGAGTATACAGTTTTATGGGCATACACAGCACGAAAGTCAGCATGTTTTATTTACATAGTGTCGGAGTGATTACTTTCAGACCTAAAAAAAGCTTCAAATACTCTCTATATACTGACATCATGAAGCGGGAGAATAGACTCGATATTTGGGATTCAGCCATCACAATTAAGATATGTAAGATAACTGCCCCATTTGATTGAAAGTGCATCTTCTGGAAACTGCACTAAAACTCAAACTGGAGAAACACAGGAATTGACTTCAGATTTGTCCACGAAATTTATGTTACAAACCCCATCTAGAATTTGTTTCACAAACGCATACATAAGGCTGAATTTACTTCTGCTTACCATCATTGAGTCCTGAACGAACTTGCTTACGGGAAGACGGTGGCGTACTAAATTATAAAACGAAGTTAATTGTATCAATTTTAAAAAAAGTGATCAATTTAGGAAGTTGACCTACTTTTCATAAACAGGCTGGTTGCTTGGATCGCTGTATCTATTTTCTCTCCGGTTAATAAGGAAATTAAGTCCGAGCGTGACACCAATAATGCCTGATCCAAAGAGCACAGGAAAAACGGCGTCTTGAGGAATGGGCTTATTAAAAAACGTTCGAGAAGGTAAGAAATATGGGGATCCTTGAGTTCGACATTGCCTGAGAAACACTCCTCCTGAGGAGCGAGAGAACAACGATCCAAGTGCAGGGCGCTTATAACTGGCCAGTGACAAAAAACGCCGATTTTGTGACAAAATTAACGTCTTTACAACTGTGAAAACTGTAACAGTCATAACTAAAAAGGTCAATTATTAGGTATTTGGAAAGCATTTGCAATTCGAAAGAAAAAGTGTGTAGACGACGGTAAAGCAAGCATTTTTATTCTAAAATTACAAACTACGATAACAAACAGTACTACTTCGGCTGAATTTCTTTATCAGTTTCGAAGACTATGTCGTACGTTATCCATGCCAATGGAATCGTGACCAGAAAGAATCCCGCAACCGGCACGGGGTCCAAATATGGTTTATAAGATTCGCGATATGGATCAGGCATCTTAACAACGCGACGCGATGTAGAACATAGGACGTGCTGAGCTTTCTTTATAATCCCCAAATGACGCAATACCATCTAAAAAATACAAATTGAATTTTTACGTTTATTAATTCAATTGGAAGCAAAAGTCATGCTCAGTGACAAGGTTTATTGCACAAAAATATGCGCTAATTGCTAAAAAGAATCGCCACGGCCATGCAAATACAACACAGAGCTACATAAGGGCTTTTTCGTTCACCAATCCTGGCGCATTTCCAAAATGTGCCAGTGAATCTATAATTGTGAAATAAGTATTACATGTGCCATACCCGGTCTTATGACGATCAAGAAAATCTGGCATCAGTGCACGCACATACGTACAAGTGCAAATGAGAAGAAGAATAACTGACAATAAACTTTGGAAATTAAATATAGCCGACTAAAATTAACTAAGATTAAAGAAAAGTGCACACATCAGACCATCATGAAAATTTTTGATTATTGCGGCTATTGGAGAATGCATTCAAAAAATTTTTAAGCATCAGATGGCAAGCCCGACAATAATTTTCCATATTTTTGTATCATTCACGTAAAAGCATTAAATTTTTTAGCATTGTATGCATCGCACGTCCGACATATGTTAACTTAAAGCGAATTAGTAGCCTACATAATTATGTCCATCCTACCTTGCATCTCGGATGATGCACGGAATCCTACAAAATTTGACGATGTCATAGTCCTGTTTGCTGCACATAAGGGTCCTGCAAAGGCAATGCTGTTTGGAAACATCCAGGTTAGATGTTATTTCGTGTTAACGTTTATGTGCAGTCAACGGATTTGATGACACGTTGCCTCAACTAGTTTCAAGTGAAAACTTCAAAACAGGAGCACTTCCTGGGGATCCTATCAACTGCTCATAACTTGATGTTATCTATAAAATGTGTGCTTTTTGTTTACAGTATTTAAGAAGCGGTAACCTCCATCGCGCATCCTATTAAATAATGAACCATATTTTACTTAATTGCAAGAACGATTAACTGTTTAAACTGAGTTAATTACTGTCAGTTTACAAAAACCTAGCCCATTGGCCTTTATTATGTTAAATGCTAAACAATTTGATTTGTCTCATTTTATATATAACCATCCGATTTTCAATTTTTTTAATTGCCCAATGTGTATATTAGATGTTCCAGACAAACCGCAAGTTGGTATGCTTTTGAGTAAACGTTTTAGTATATCCGAACCCTAGTATGAAGGAAATTGGTTCAACAGAATAGATTTTATTAAATAATCATAGGCCAGAACCACACGTCATGCGCCATCCATCCGAGTCCACCACGTTGGCTACGCCGCTCATGATATACCAATCCCCAAACATATCTCTCCGGTTGGCTGCCTATTTTCCTCGCATGCTATTGGAACGCAGAGAGACAGAGGATTGACTGAGGCTAGCATGGCCCAATATGTCAGCGCCCTTATACGTCTCAACTGTAGAATACCCGAACCCTGGTATGAATAAGACTGGTACAAGAGAACAGGCTTTATTGACCAATCACAATCCAGGTTCACGCGTGAGGTGCCTTCCATCCGAGTCAGCCACGCTGACCACGCCACTCATTATATACTGCACCTCATTCGTGTTCTTCTCTGGTTGGCTGCCTGTCTTCCTCACATGCCACTGGAACGCAGAGAGACACAGGATTGGCTGAGGCTAGGAGGTCCAATATGTCTATGCACTGATCCGTCGTTACACTACCTCCCCCCAGGAATGAAGCTGTCCTCAGCTTCTGGCTTGGTTGTGTACCAGTCTTATTCATACCAGGGTTCGGGTATTCTACACAACTTTAGCGGAACGGTAGATAGCCGCCATCTTGGTGCTCAGTCATTCATCAAGTTAAATACATCGGTTGGGAGATGGACAGGTCAAAAGCATGGCATTACGCGCGAAAAGTACTGTTTACCAGTTTCAACTGAAAAAAAAACTGTGGTGTTATGAGAGGTTATGTAACTCACACAGACTTGCTGTTTAGTACTCTGAACCCTTGCGTCCTATCCTTCCAATACTACAAAAAATCACTAAAATGTTTCTATTTTAAATATAATGTTTACCTCGAAGAGAGTATTTGTGTAAATTAGGTCATGCACTTAATATAACTAAGGGTGCCTAAGATGCGATAGAGCAGGAACCCGTCTTCATTGTACGAAAGATATTAAGAAAACTTAATTAAGGTAATTTTCTGCAATGCAAAGCTTAAATCGTTCATAGGGTTGTTAGGCTTTTGTGTTCGTCCAAAAAAACCGAGTCTGTGTACAAAAAGTAGTCGTGTAATGGAAACATGGCCTGCAAGTGCATAGATTTCTACCACTAAAAGAGTACAAGCACTGTCTTCAAGCTTTTATGAGACAGTGGATACGAACTTTATTTAGAGGTTTATAACCTCAGGAGCATGGAAATATCGTAGTCTTAAGGTTCATCCTTGCATTAATTGGCTGTGGTCTTGCGACACTTTTGAGGGGAAAAGTGAATTATCAAGTAGTAAAACATAACGGTGAAGACGGTCAGATGTTTTTGCAGATTTGCTGTATATGACAAAATTACTTTGAAGAAAGAAATACTCGCTACTACTGAAACAACATGTCTGGATGCTTACGGTTGTATAAATAAATTGTGAACAGTACAAATATTAAAGTGAAAAATATACTAACAGATGAAGGAGACCACAAGCAATTTAGCTGTCCTTATCAGGTCATCAGCATTTTTTTAATGTTTGGTTCATAAAGTACACTCTACGCCTTAAAAATATTTACTGAGTAGCTATGAGTACTAAAACGTCTGGGAGAACAAGGAGACACGTTTTTCGAGGAAGAGATCTACGCACATTTCAATGTGAATTTGTGGTTTTTGTTTGGAGGACTGGCAACCATTAAGTAATTAGAATGCGTAATTGGTGCTGCCTGAGTGTTTTAAGGGTTTTTGTTAATCAGACAGAGATTTCAGACCACAGCATAAAATATGAAGCTAAGGCTAGGAATTAATCGAGGATCATAAACTGGAACAAAGTCATTTGGTTGAAATTGGCAAGCAAATAGATTTCTTCCCTTTATCTCCACTTGATATGGAATTTTAATAGGGTTCATGTGACTTAAGTTTAAAAATTTTGGCCTTTGGTAAATAGAGTGTGGAAGACATAAATCAAAGTTAGGGAAGTTAAAGGGGTGTACCTTAAGTATCCCTCTCATTAGTCATTCAACAACCTGAACAATCTAATGCATGTTCGATGGGTCCAATTAACAGAATATGGCCTTACCAGTTTTGTACAGTCAAGGTAGATATTTGTTTTCACAAGTGCCCATCCTATGCTAAAAATATCTTCAAACTAATCGGTGAGAAAAATATGCTGGTATGTTGGCTTTCCTCGTGAGCGATGCAAAGGAAAATAACAATTACAACAGGAAACTTAGTCGATCATATTAACGTATTGCTTCATTGATAACCTTACAAGTAAGCTTTTGTGAAATATATTTTATCTCGCGGAGTTGGATTTGCAGGAAAATCAGCTTCCCTAAGGCTGTATCCTTCAAGATTTTCACAGTTTCTATATTTCACTATCCATCCTGCTTAGGCACAGCGTTCTTTGTATTTAAATCAGCCGTCCTCTTCCTGTTGGCCATTCATGTTTGAGCACAAAATTCATTTTAATTGCTCTCAAGGCCGCTCACGCCATTTTTAAGTTGGCGCATCAGACTGTTCACTCGGCCATTGGCTGAGGCGTTAAAAGACTGTCTTCAAGAGGTCTTGTTTTGTCTTGTCCAAGTTGGGGATGCACGGGCTCTATGCTAATTAGGGAGGTTTTTGCCGTGCCAAACCGGGGTTTTGATTATTTGCGCTCGGGCCTTTGCTTCTGTGCTCTAGTAAACCATGGCATGGAGGGAACACATAAGCTCCTACCGAAGAGTGTGAGTTTGTGGATGATACTGCCGTTGCCATTTGACAAGCCGCGACCTTACTTAAGGTTTATTGTATCACTAATTTAGGTGTCATTTGACAATTATATTTAAAAACACATAAAGAAGCATAAATTTTTGCCATTAATGTGTGCAGGAGATCAGAAATGGAAAAAAAGACAAAAATATATGTTTCGTAAAACCTAATAATAGGTTTCCGATTGAACCAGACTAAGGAAAACAAGTTTAATGTCCCTTACTGTTTGCAGTAATTGCCTTAATCGCTTTTTAACTTATGTCATACTACCAATGAAGATGTCATTGGCATGGTTCCTCATACGTGCAACTACTTTCTTTCCCCCTTTGAATATAGCATCCTAGCTAATGAGAGTAGCACGTAATTCGTGGTGATCACTTACTCTTGGCTTAAGTCCCTAGATGAAAACAGACGTATCATCAGTCGCCATGAAAGCTTTCTAAGACATGGCTAATTTTTGTCAATTACTTGAATTATTTTGTTGTTTGTGGCATAATTTTAACTAGATTTTGTGCTTTAAGCGGTGTACAAGATGGAATTGATTAAAACTTCGCCTTGTGAAAAGAGGTAACAAAAGCCCAGCATAAGTTTTGGTGGCAGTTTTAATAAATGTTTGCCTTAGTGCAGGCAAAAGTCAATTTGGCGCATTAAAATTTTGTGTTTATTCAGTTTAAGTGATGATAGTTCTGATGATCTTAACATCTGCCAGTGTCCATAAAAATAGATTTCCAAACAAAAGTGAAACCGGATTTTACTGAATGACTTTGAGGTTGTCTACGATGTTGTAGAAGACAAAAAATGTCACTGACCCTTGGTCTATCACCTAAGCTATGTTGGATAAGCCTAAAACTTATAGTCTGAGACAGTGATGATTATTAACTTTTCATGAATTTCCTAATAATTGCTGCTATTAAACTACGCTAGAGTATCGTTAAGTAGAAAATTTGTTCCGCAACATGTTTTTGATGAGCAACAGGTGTCTTCTTACGATTTGTACAAAATAGCCCTTTGAGATATCCACATAGGCTCTAACAGCAAAACAATTATCTACATGGCTATCTCTCTCAAATAAATAAAAACTTAAGATGCACAAAGGCTGTGTTACGCCATCGATCTTGTTTAATAAGAACTGTCAGGGTGATTGCTGGCTCAATTTATGGATAATAAAAACTACAAATTGAATATGGGTTTTGAGGATTCGCTGCTACCTCACTTTTAATGTTGATTGGTCACTTGGCATCCTTCGTTTGGATGTGTCTTCATTGGCCTTGAGTTACCTGAGTTACCTGAGTTTCTTTTAATTCATTATGTTTAACCACATAAGGTTGCATCTTTTTCAAAATTTAATCCTGCTTCTGACGACTAAATTTGCATTTTCAAAAAGAAAATACATAGATCCTGTTGCGAGAAATCTGACAAAGCACTTCTTAAGCTGACTCAATCCACTTTATAAGTGG